ACCCAATCCTAAGCATAGCACAAGATCGTGTAGTTCGTTTGCTAGAGCTTTTCTAATGTCAAGTGCTTTGGGTGTAACTCCCGGATACCGTAGGAGTGCTTTGGGTGTACCAAACGTCACACATAACTGGGTGGCTATAAAGGTATACTACAGGTATCTCTGAAAGTGTCTGTTGGGTTGACGCGGATCGAGACTGGGATTTGTCACTCCGTATGACGGAGAGGTATCTCTGGGCCCACTCGGTAATGCATCATCATAATGAGCTCAATGTGACCAAGTGGTTGGTCACGTGATCATGCATTACGTGACGAGTAAAGTGACTTGCCGGTAACGAGATTGAACGAGGTATTGGGATACCGACGATCGAATCTCGGGCAAGTAATGTACCGATTGACAAAGGGAATTGTATACAGGATTACTTGAATCCTCGACATCGTGGTTCATCCGATGAGATCATCATGGAACATGTGGGAGCCAACATGGGTATCCAGATCCCGTTGTTGGTTATTGGCCGGAGAGCTGTCTCGGTCATGTCTGCATGATTCCCGAACCCGTAGGGTATACACACTTAAGGTTCGGTGACGCTAGGGTTATTAGGAATACTTGTAAGTGATTACCGAATGTTGTTAGGAGTCCCAGATGAGATCCTGGACGTCACGAGGAGTTCCGGAATGGTCCGGAGGTGAAGATTTATATGTGGGAAGTTGTCATACGGTCACCGGAAAAGTTCGGGGGCTTATCGGTATTGTACCGGGGCCACCGGAGGGATTCCAGGGGTCCACCAGGAGGGGCCACCTCTCTCGGAGGGCCTCATGGGCTGTAGTGGGCAGGGAACCAGCCCCTAGAGGGCTAGGCGCACCCCCCCTTGGGCCCATGCGCCTAGGGTTGGGGGGGGACCCTAGAGGGGGCGCCCCCCTTGCTTGGGGGGCAAGCCCCCTCCCCTTGGCCTCCCCCTCTAGATCTCATCTAGAGGGGGCCGGCCCCCTTCCCCCTTCCCCTATAAATAGAGGGGCGAGGGGAGGGCTGCACACCACATCCAAGGCGCAACCCCTCCCCTTCCCAACACCTCTCCTCCTCCGTTAAGAGCTTGGCGAAGCCCTGCCGGAGTACTGCCTCTCCACCACCACCACGCTGTCGTGCTGCTGCTGGAGCTCTCTTCCTCAACCTCTCCCTCCTCCTTGCTGGATCAAGGCGCGGGAGACGTCTCCGCTCCGTATGTGTGTTGAACGCGGAGGTGCCGTCCGTTCGACACTAGGATCTTCGGTGATTTGGATCAGTACGAGTACGACTGCATCAACCCCGTTCTCTTGAACGCTTCCGCTCGCGATCTACAAGGGTATGTAGATGCACTCCTATCTCTCTCGTTGCTAGATGACTCCATAGATTGATCTTGGTGATGCGTAGATTTTTTTTAATTTTCTGCAACGATCCCCAACACTCACATCCTCCTCGGAGGCAGGTAAGTAGTTGCTGTCTTCCGAGTCCTCGTGATCAACGTGTTCGGGGCTGTAGTGACCCTCCTCCCTCTCGTCCTGATCAGATGTGGGTTCAACGGGGTGGTCATGGTCTTCAGCGTTTTCCGGAGTTTCATTATCTCCGGTGTCGGTATGACTATCCTTTTCCCGACGCGATCGTGAGCGGCGCCGCTGGCGCCGGCGCTTTGGTGGTTCATCGACGAGCTTGTCCTTGCTTGGATCTCGAGTGCCATCATCGTCCTTCATCTCAAGAGTGTCCACCATGTATACATCGTAGGTAGAAGTGGTCGTCCAGCGCCCAGTGATAGGCGGGTTTTGGCTTTGTTCGACGTCGACATCATCATCCATGTCGTCGATGTCTTCGGAGGCGTAGTCTAGCATGTTAATTAAATCGTCGATAGTGGCTATTAAGTGGGTGGTGGGTGGGGTATAAAATTCCCCAACCTCAGCCCCAGCCTGTGCTAGGTGTAGTTTGGAGGCATGGCTTCCGTAATGGCGAGGGATTGTATTAAGCCCAGTGCTTCGTCTAAGAGCGAAAGGTGGATATGAGTCTACGGATCTGTGTGGCCGGGCACTAGATCGATCAAGATGGATGCAGACCTCGACCGTTCAAAGTTACCACCCAGAGACGAGTCCGACTCTCCGATGACTGGGAGAGTCCCGTTTGACTCCGGGTTTACCAACGACGCGATCGCATCTGGGTCTCCGGATGAGAGTTCCATGATAGGATAGAGTCTGGTGGGGTTGATCCTCTCATTGCCGGACAACACAATCTGCCCCGGATCTAAGGCCGAGGCAGGTGTGAACATTGACCCCTGGACGGGATTTGATAGTGGATCTGAAGGGCCCTCTTCATGAGGGTGGGGAGCGGCAGTCGGGGCCGCGAACCCCTCGAAGATCAGATCTCCTCGGATATCAGCGACATAATTCAAGTTCCCAAACCTGATCTAGTGACCGGGGGCGTAACTGTCGACCTGATCAAGGTGACCGACCGAGTCAGCATGTAGCACGAAGCCGCCGAACACAAAGACCCATCCAGGGAGAAAAGTCTCCTGGACACAGCATCATCGTTGATGAAGAGGCGCGCCATCAATCCTTTTGTTGACAATACATTAGAGCTCTCAATGAAAGCACCAATGTCGGTGTCAAAACCGGCAGATCTCGAGTAAGGGTGCCCAAGTTGTGCGTCTAAGGATCGATGGTAACAATTGACGAAGGGACACAATGTTTACCTAGGTTCGGGCCCTCTTAAAGGAGGTAAAACCCTACGTCCTGCTTGATTGTATTCGATGAGTATATGGGTTACAAGAGTTGATCTACCTCGAGATCGTAATGGCTAAACCCTAGCTTGTCTAGACTATGAATATTATGATCCCGCCTCCGGTCTAAACCCTCCGGTTTATATAGACACCGAAGGGGCCTAGGGTTGCACAGAGTCGGTTTACAGAGAAAGGAAATAGCATATCCGGACACCCAATCTTGCCGTTCATGCATACAGGAGTCCTAACCGGACACCGGAGGTGGTCTTCTTCCTTCATCTTTACAACCCATCAGTCCGGCCCATATTAAATAGGCCGGACGCCCGAGGACCCCCTAGTCCAGGACTCCCTCAGGGGTGTCAGTCAGCTTGCCTTCTGATTCTTCTTCAGTCTCACCGTCTGCGTCGCTACCGTTGTGACTATGGGGGGATGTTGAGTATATGATTATTAGGAAGTATAGAATAGACTAGGATTTGTCCTGTATTGTCTTGTACTCCAAGTTAATCATTGTACTCCTATATATATGCCCACGAGACTAAAGCAATAAACATCAATCATATTCTACCAATCCATCTCTATTCCCTTCTAACATAAACAACCTAGGGCAATGTAATTCTAGTCTGTCATGAAATGAAACAAATATTATGTTTCATCCTGTGTAACTTAAACCAATTTATTTTTCCAAACATATCAACACACATAGCTGTATTATTCCCCTTGCAAGATTCAAGATCGTACTATTTTAGACCACATCAACTTAATATATCCAACGTATAGCGACTACAAACCAAAGAAAGCACTTGAATCAAGAATACTCAAAAGAAAACGACGAGTGACAAGATTTGTGAAGCATTGTCATTTTCAAACTGTTGTACAAGAACAAATAATTATGGACAAGAAATATATAAGTACAACCAATCTTTTCGGCGAATCTTCGATAGAAGTGGAGTGGTGTTGTTGATTCCTTTGATCTTCTCAAGTACACAAGAAGAATAAGAAATCTTCCTCCATGGTTGCATTTCCTGTAAAATGCTAGCGAAGTAAAAGAACAGACAGGGACCAAGACCAAAAGCAACCTATGTATATGATGTAAATGAATTGTTTTCCTTGCGGCTTATATTTGTTTAGGTTAGATTCACTTATCGTACATTAACCTGCCCCACATGAACAATTATGCGACCTCACAAGAAAAGTTATACAATTTTGATATACATTGCATTACCGACATATACGAACTATTATACAAGATGAAAACGCTATATACACAAACAAATATCAAATCTTGGCGCACATCGGCGACCACAATCTGCATGCCCCGTGCACATACCTGCCACATATATCCTCCCCTCCAACCAATATGACCTTGTGTTCACAGCTAACGATCAAACATCTGCACACACAAAAAAATACTACTTTGGCCCCCAACAAAACTAGTGAGGTTATCAATCTCATTAGCTTTGCTACTTAATATAAATAAAGAAATTTAAAAGCACAAGTGTATGGAAGATTTGGTTGTAGGCAAAAGCAAAATAAAACATAAATTACGATTGAAAGATTATAGGAAGTCGCAAACATAAACATAAAAACGTAAAGGAATATTTTTCCTTGCTGAAGTACTATTTGGTTTCTGCTACTCCATGTTACATTGACTGACCCATCTCAGAGATACAGCCGTACCACATTGCATCTGGCATTAAATGGAAGCATTTGAAACTCAAACCCATGTCATGAAATTTACAGCAGAATCCAGGACGCCGAGGATCTCCAAAACTATGCCATTTCGGGGAGCAGCATCCGGAAGAGAGAGGAGAGAGAGGGAGAGTCAGAAAGCTAAAAAAAGCAGCGAGCAATCTAGTGGTGTAGCGAGGCGAGCCCTTGCTGCGTCCCTCCCCTTCCTCCGTTTCCCACCCCTCCAAAAAAATTCACCTCACGCCCCCGGGCCCCGGGCCTCCCCCCCGCGCCGACGACCCCCGAAGCTCCCAGAGGCTTCTAGGGCCTCGCCGCCGCCGCCGCCGCCGCCGTCCCCCCTTCCACCAATCGCCGCCTCCGGCAGCGGCGAGGCCGCTTCGCAGACGGCGGAGGGACGGTGCTAGGGTTTGCAGCCGCGGCAGCCGGCGCCCGCGGAGGAGGATGCATATGATGCGGCGGCTCAAGAGCATCGCCTCCGGCCGCTCCTCCATCTCCGATCCGGTGCGCATGCTCGATCTGTCCCCGCCCCTTCCCCCGGCCAGCGATTCGCGGCGCAGCTGCATTCGCCATCAATGACATGGAAACCGTGGCGCTGGTTCGTTTTTGCGCGATTTTCCTAGTCTTGCTCGAGCAGCAGCATCGTGGTTCATTCTTTGGCTTGATTAGTTGCTATTGGGCGAAAAAAATTAAAAAAATGCATGTTGCGCTGTCAGGTGGAAAATGCTTCAGTTTGCTTTCGTCGGATTTGGCATTCAGCTAGGTGCGCTTTAAAGGTGGCGGTTTGCTTCTGCTTTTGTTTGACGTGTGCGATGAAAACGATGCTAGCATTTTTTAGTCGCTAATAATGCTTTAGCACCGTAAAATTTTTATTTCCGAATAAGCCCGATTCATCCATTTTATAGGTTCATTTTTGCCCTCAAACGACTGCAAGGCTGGATTCCACTATTGTAAAGATGATGGAACCGCAGAGTGCCAGCATTCATATGCAAAAGAAAGTCGCAAGAACCGAGCTAGGAGTTCAGGCCAGCCATTTTATAGGTTCATGAAGATATTTGATGCTCCATTTCTACTCTGATAGTTGTTTGGTAGCTTGTTCAATTCATCGGTCATTCACGCGAAAATAGTTACCTACATGGATTGACCGGGAATTGGCTTACCATATAACTATTGCCGCTGGATCCTTTTTGCTTACGGTTCCAACCTCCTTTTCGAAGAAAAAGAAAGCATGCTCTGTGGAGCAGCTTTAGAAGTCTTCTTGTGGATATGAGCTTTATGAGTTACTCCCTCTGTCCCATAATATAAGTGTCAAAAACGCTCTTATATTACGGGATGGAGGGAGTACCCAACATTACAAACATTAAAAATGGAATGCATAGTTTGTTAAAAGATATTGGTATGTGTAATTCTTGATTGGTGGAAAAGTTTGATGGATGCAGTTTGTTGGTTATTGCTTGGGACTGCTAGAAAATGGCCTCCATCGTCGCAAGATCTATTAATTTTTGTGATTGCTAAATTGAAGTTTCCTTTTAGCCTCTCTATGCTTCTCCAGTTGTGAATACTTATTTGCAAATATTGTTGTTGTTAGGGTGGTGACTCTGGCTCAAAAAGGCCAAAATTTGATCAGGATGGATTGGGCGATATTGTCATTCAACCACATCTATCTGATGACAAACCTATGCATCTAGACCAAGAATCATCATCATCTCATAGAAATGCTGAGGCAAGCACATCTACTAGTATGAATCCTGCTAAAGCTGAAGAAACGGGTGCAGATCTTCCGAAAGGAATGAATGATATGACAATAAGCGATGATAAAGTTGATGGCCGTAATAATGATAAGGTATTTTGATTCTCCGCCCATGACTTGTTGACCTGATGCCATTTCTTCTTTTGCTGTTTATGTGATGGCTTTCTGACTATAGGATGCTGAAGGGGTTACCGTTGATGGAAATGGAACAGAAGCTGGCCAGATCATTGTGACAACAATAGGAGGTCAAAATGGGAAGCCAAAGCAGGTGATACCTTGATCAGTATCTTTGCTACTCTCATGCATATTCTACTGCCGGATTCTAGATGCAGTATTTCCATATTGGAAACCTTTGTATGGTCCATGGACTGTGAGTTTATTTGTTCTCGGGAACCCTTATTGGTAGAATTTTGCACTATGACACCATTTATGGGCATATACAGCATTTTTTTTCCTGATGGCTGAGTATTGTAGCTTCAAACTATTCTCTGGAATGTTTGTAACTTTGTACTACTGCATTTATTCCTCAGAACATTGGACGACCCAGTAATGATAATACTAATACTCCAACTGTTTTACAGAAGGTCTCATACATGGCAGAGCGCGTCGTTGGGACTGGTTCGTTTGGTGTAGTATATCAGGTGTGTTAATTTGCCGTCTTTTGCCCTTGTATATCACTACAGTTTCTGTTAGTGAATATTTCTAATGCTGGGCGTTGAAGTCATTGATAATATCTGGTACAACAGGCTAAGTGCTTGGAAACTGGAGAAACTGTTGCCATTAAGAAGGTGCTGCAGGATAAGAGATATAAGAACAGAGAGCTGCAAACAATGCAGTTACTTGACCATCCAAATGTAGTTCAGCTAAAGCATCACTTCTTTTCGACAACTGAGAGGGGTGAAGTGTACCTAAACCTTGTACTTGAATATGTCTCGGAGACAGTTTATCGTGTTGCCAAATATTATTGTCGGCTGAACCAGCGTGTACCCATACTATATGTTAAGCTGTATGCATATCAGGTTTGTGAAGATGTTCCATTGTAGTTTATATATTCTTTCAAAGAGTTATATTCGGTGATGCTCAAGAAGTTGTTTGTTGTTCCATCTTTGCATAGATGTGCCGGGCCCTTGCATATATCCATCGTGTTGTTGGTGTATGCCATCGAGATATTAAGCCGCAAAATCTGTTGGTAAGTTCATTAAAATTTTATTAGACATATCTTCTTGCTTGAACCGTGCAGTATCATTGCATGCTTGCAGGTTCCCTCCTCCAATGATGACTGCCTGCAATATTTTAAAATATTATTTGATTGTATCATAAGTAATGATCAACTAACTGCAATGGATTGATCTTCCAGGTCAATCCTCATACGCATCAACTTAAGCTTTGTGATTTTGGGAGTGCTAAAAAACTGGTATGCCTTTGTCACTTATTTTCTTGGTCTTGTGTTTTGACATGTATTTGACAGTACATGGCTCGATTTCAGGTCCCTGGAGAGCCAAACATCTCATACATCTGCTCGCGGTATTATAGGGCTCCTGAACTAATATTTGGAGCTACAGAGTACACCACAGCAATTGATATCTGGTCTGTTGGTTGTGTAGTAGCTGAGCTTCTGATTGGCCAGGTATAGAGTCTCATTCTAGAAGCTCAGTTTTCTTGCAGCCAAGTTCATTAGTTGAAGTTATGCTTACTTGAACAAGATCACTTGATTTTTGAGGACAATTAATTTTTGTTTATCATTATAGACCGTATTACTCCTTTTATAGCTGAAAGTAATAGTATTTAGTCACAAGAACAGTGGAGTTTCTCAACATTAGAGTGTGATCAGCAACATCTAGAAGGCCTCGTATCATATCATTGAACATATTTTGATAAGCAAATACTACTGCACAAATCAAGCTCTGTTAAATTACGCATATGTTATCAAATTCATTTGAAGTTGCTTCACTTTAGAGGGCTAATACTTTCATGGAAAAATCAAGTTGATAATTACTTTCCTGTCGACAATCTCTTTTCTGTACATGAGCTGGACTTTTTTGTTGAGTTCTCTTCTTTTGGGGGGAAATTGCAGCCTCTGTTTCCTGGAGAAAGTGGCGTTGATCAGTTGGTTGAAATTATAAAGGTTTGTATCTCCCGCCAAACCATTAAAGTCCAGTAATTAAGATCAGTAAGCTGAAGTCATCATTCCTTATCCCTATTCTAGATTTTGGGTACCCCAACAAGAGAAGAAATCAGATGCATGAACCCAAACTACTCTGAATTCAAGTTCCCTCAGATAAAAGCTCATCCCTGGCACAAGGTTAGTAACCTCTCTATATGTATTCAGTTAGCCGAGACCTCTGTAACCTGCTAACCTAATTTTCGTCCGCACGCAGCTTTTTGGTAAGCGCATGCCACCTGAAGCAGTTGATCTTGTGTCAAGGCTACTTCAGTACTCACCAAATCTGCGCTGCACAGCTGTAAGAATGGTTTTATCCTTGTGCTATTTGAACCAAGCTATGAACAAATGAGCACAGATTCATTGCTTTCTAATGCTAAGTTCTACTTTTTTCTCTAGCTAAAGTACAATTTGATTGCTTCTAAGAAGAGTGTTGTGTTGTCCTGGCATCTATGAATCACAGCCCTACTAAATTCATGAATGAAGAAGAGACATCCTTGAAAAAGACGAGTGCTATTCTGACTAGACATTTTTGCAGGTTGATGCTTGTGCCCATCCGTTCTTCGATGAACTGCGGGATCCCAAGACCTGCTTGCCAAATGGACGGCCATTACCACCATTGTTCAACTTCTCGGGAGCTGGTAAATAATAACCATACATAGACTCTGCAATTGTTTTGAACTGTAAAAACTAAAAACTACACCGTGCTGTTGAGCTTTTTGTTACGCTAACCTGATACAACCCATGGACATGTTGTGCTGCAGAGCTAGAAGGCCTCCCTGTTGAGCTGCTCCACCGGATCATTCCCGAACATATGAGGAAGTGAAGAAGTGGCGGCCGGAGAAGCGTTATTTCTTGCCGCCACCTTAAGGGCGGAGACGGAACACCGCGAGCATATCCAAATGTCTGGTGGATTGATCTGGAGTAGATTCTCCGGCCGGCCCAGCCCGGCCTGGAGCTAGAGAAGGGCAACCACGGGCATGTGCCCAGGGCCCAGACACACACTGCTGTGGGCCCCTGTTTTAAGTGTATGTGTTTATGTCGTTTGATGAAAGAATAGTATGTTTGCTCGTTTCCAGCTTTCAGAATTTTCTCAGTGAAGCATGAAAATGATGATGTCACGCTTCGTATTGATATGGGATTCAAATTCGAATCCCATATCTGAGGCATTCATGGTGGATATTCTTCGTATTGATATGGGATTCGCTTTCGACCATCAAGGCCAGCATAATTATACATGCATTGCTTCTATGCAAGTGCAATCGAAGTACTCCTACAGATCACCAGATCTGGTAGTGGTATTGACAATCAAACTGGCTCCATTTAAAACAAGTGCCTCCGGTATGAATATGGTGATGCAAATTGTTTATTTATCTGGCCAACCGAGGCTTCCTTTCCGGTGCGATCTGCAGAAAGGGGAGATGGGTGACAAGTGTAAGTGTAGTGTGGTAGCTCAACGAAACCTCACCAGATGCAGATAGCCGAGGACGTGTCCTTTGCCCCGGATACTTTACGTGCAAGGTTGTTGTCTTGGTGGTGACAAGTTGGCTGACACGGCAGCAGTGGCGATATTTTTGGGCTCATGCGTGTTAGGAGAGGACAAATACCCCGTGAAAGATTCTTTTTGTTTTTGAACATTTTTCTTGGAAAGTTTTCCGATATAAATTCACTAGATAATTGTGACATCGTACAAACACAGCCTAGCCATTCTTCTACCGACAACGTTGCGAAGTCACTTGGAGCATTTAAGTCAACAGTAGCACGCATCCATCGAGTAGGAGTATGATGCAAGGAGTCACCCAGACACTCGGCCATTAATAATGGCAGTATGGCACGATGGTATGCTTACTGATGAACCATCGGTGACACCGACTCGATATAAATAAAAACCACTTATCAGCGACTGCGACCTGTTCAATAGGCACACCTAGAGCTAGAGATAAATCACATTGGGTGGGTGATCTTGGGCCATACAGCAAGTGCCGTCCATCGGTCCACTTCAGAAACTTTGTCCCGTGTCCCGACCTGCTTTCTTTTCTTTCTGGACATCATCGGAGGACAAACCCGCCGTCCATATCAAAACATGTGATTTACGAGCGCCCAACGCACACCCCGCCCGCCTACCATGTTGACCCTCGTTTCTTGTTTCAGGTTTTATTTATTTTTTCTCAATGAATACAGACGTAGAAAATAAGTACTCTGTCCTAAATAACTTGGCGTAGAAATGAATAAAAATGAATGCATCTAAAATTAAAATACATCCAGATAACTCAAATTTCGTGACAAGTAATTCCGGACGAAGGGAGTAGGATGCACACCGCGCCTAAGACCCTGACCCCATTTTTGTTTCACGTTTTTCATTTTCTTGCCTGATGAAGGTTACAGTGTATGATACAAGTAGGACACACATCAGGCATCCGTCGTGCGTGTATGTATTGATAATTGGTATACGCATGTATGTATGTATGTATGCTAGGAATACTACACATCACCACGAGGTTGGGAAAGAGACGGTTTTGTGTTTAGAGATGGTACAAGCAGGTCAATTAGTGGTTACTCCCTCTGTAAACTAATATAAAAGTGTTTAGATAACTAAAGTAGTGATCTAAACGCTTTTATATTAGTTTACGGAGGGAGTACTTGTTAGGTAGTGTTGCCAATCAGCCATGAATGGCAACTTTATCGGGCTCACTAAAGGCGAACAAAAAGAAGTGAAAAACAAAACAACAACTTGAAACTCATCCATCCAAGCAAGCCAAAAGGTGAGAAAGCTTGGCCCGTGACCATCATCTAAACCAACTCCATCAGTCACTAAGCACAATCACACCCACACAAGCTGCCGCTACTAATCTATACTCATGTGGTCCCAGCGGCACATGTGCCATGCTAAAAAGATATTTATAGTTTTTTTCTCACTAATTTTAAAACACTGTACATTTTAAACCAAGAATATATAAAGCGAGGATGAAATATAAAATCAAATCCAAAGCCTTGCACTCCTTGTTGTCCTCCCCCTTGTTCCGGGCCTGAGAAAAATTTGAGACCCCAGAACGCAAGACGCGAAGACGACCCACCACCGGCCCCCGCCCCTAAATTACGGCCGCACGCCTCGCCGCCGGCGATCCCACCGACCGTCGGCTCCCCCGCGCCTCGTCCGCCCCTGCGGCGTGCTCGTGCCCACGAGGACGCCGCTCGCCGGTGCGGGCGAGGAGGGCGGCGATGGGGAACTCGCTCGGGTGCTCCGCGTCCGGCGAGCGGCTGGTGTCCGCGGCGCGGGACGGGGACGCCGTCGAGGCGCGCATGCTGCTCGAGCTCAGCCCGGCGCTCGCGCGCTACTCCACCTTCGGCGGCCTCAACTCGCCGCTCCACTTCGCCGCCGCCAAGGGCCACCTCGACGTCCGTGCCCCTCTCCCTTGTGATTCTATATACGCGCCCGCGTGCGTGGTTTCCCGTTCGATTTGATTCACGGACTGGTGGTTTTTTGGTTTTCAGATTGTGACGCTGCTGCTGGAGAAGGGCGCGGATGTGAACGCGCGGAACTACTGCGGTCAGGTAGATCTTTCTGTCCGAGTACCATTTCATGGATAGGATAGGTATCTCCCCCCAAAAATGGAAGATCTGTCATTTATACGTGCTGAAATTGGCAGCCACCGCGTCGTGTTTCTAGTGGAAGTAGTACTACCTGATCTTTGCAATATCGGGACAAACCAAAAACTGAATTCTTGTTGGGCTCTCGTGGTCTCCTGCCCTGTGCTCGCCCACGGGATAAACATGTGTTACATTTCGATCAATCTCTAGAATCCTTTATGCGAGTGGAATCATTTAACTGATTGTTTTTGTTTACTTGGATGGGCGGATAAAGACCGCATTGATGCATGCATGCCGACATGGACACTGGGAGGTGGTTCAGATGCTTCTGCTCTTCAGATGCAATGTATGGTATTTCTGATATGGTCTTTACAATGTGTACCATTTCTGCCCTGAGACAAGGAAGGTGCTGACTGCTGCTTCTGTTTGGGTTGCTTGGAAGGTTACCAGAGCGGATTACTTGAGCGGTCGAACGGCATTGCACTTTGCAGCACACGACGGACTTGTTCGATGTGTAAGGCTGTTACTTGCCGACTTCATCCCAAGCGGGCCCTTGGAGGATACTGCCTCTTCGGTGGCAGATGGCGGTGATTCTCAGACGAATAGCGGCAGCAGTCCTACTTCTTCACTGGGACTGAAATTTAATGAACCGTATGTATTTTGTCAAGTGTTGATCTAGTGTTGTCTATTGTGCTTGAAATAACTAGCAACCAACTGTACGCTGTCTTTGTGCAGTGCTCGTGTGAGGTACATCAACAAACCTGCTGATGGCGGTGTTACTGCTCTTCACATGGCAGCTTTGAATGGTCATTTCGATTGCATGCAATTGTTGATTGAGTTAGGTGCAAATGTCTCAGCTGTCACATTTCCCTATGGAACTACATCAAATTTGATAGGCGAGTGATGATTCTTATTTCAGATGATATGCAGTAGATAATGCTATCTTTTCTTACCTAAAATAAAACGAGTTCTCAAATTATATCTGTATATGGATCAGGAGCTGGCAGCACTCCTTTGCATTATGCAGCCGGTGGGGGCAGTCTGGAGTGTTGCCAGGTATGTTACTGTCATAAAGGAGCATCGTATTTTTGGACATGTACCATTTCACGCCTGTACTTGTCGCATATGTGTTGATACGTTCTAATGTTTGTAATGCCACCATCACAGGTACTTCTTTCAAAAGGTGCTAGCAGGTTGACACTCAACTGCAATGGGTAAGAATCTGTTGTCCAATTATTAATGCCAAGTTGTATTTCAAAATATTTATTGACCGTGCCATCACAGCCTCTAGCCTACCCCAACTTGCTTGGGACTAAAGGCTTTGTTGTTGTTGTTGTTGTTGTTGTTGCGTGCCATCACAGATATTTTATTATATTAACTTGACCGGCTCTACTTGAACCTAACGTGTATCTTCCTGTTGAAATGTTACTAATACGCCTTGTTCTTTAGGTGGCTTCCCATGGATGTTGCTAGGATATTTGGACGCCGTTGCTTGGAGCCATTACTTTCTCCAAATTCACACACGATTATTCCAGCAATTCAGCCATCCAGTTATCTTGCCTTGCCACTGATGAGCATACTTAATATAGCCAGGTTAGTGCCCAACAACTCACCATACACCACTTAGGATTTTTTCAGTTTTATAAGTAAAATATAATGACAACTGTTACTTTTATGAACAACAATGAGTGCTGCTTATTTCTGAATCTATGCTTTTTGAGAAACACACAAGGGTGCAAGCAGTTTCATTCTGCATACCAGCTGATCTGGTTCTTATAATCAATTGGGCCAGTTTATGTGTCTTGCGGAATTGCAATGGTTTCTGCAATTTTACTTGCAGAAAGGCATACCTGAACAAGGCAACTGCCAAAGTCTGTTCTTGAGTTGGAACGGACATAGAACAAATGTTTTTACTCATCTTCTTGTGTTTTGTCATCTTCAGTGAGTTCACTCTTTATGGTGTTGTTACCGTAGAGTGAGCTGAGTGTGCCTTTCTTGACTTATTTCACCTTTGATACAAGTGCTTGCTGTTCAGACACCATATAATGCTTTCAATTATCGACACTTCCATGTTCAATATTCAAAATGAGGAGTGCACTTGTCGGCTCTTTTGCTTATGGATTTCTTTTATATGCTTTGCAGAGAATTTGGGTTGCAACACACCGTATCCTCGGTGGATGAGAGTGACCTTTGTGCAGTTTGCCTGGAACGGTCTTGCTCTGTAGCTGCTGAAGGTGG